CCAGCCTCACATGTGCCGCTGGTGGCATTGTTTACCAGCCAGCCTCCGCGGTAACATCCAAGCATACAATCGGAACATTTCGTATTATTACAGTGTTTTTGGTGATTTTATCTGCAAAATAAGTGACCATGGGCCCCAAGAAAGCTTCTAGTGCCAACCCTACAGCAATAAGGGTGAGAATTACTATAGAGATGAAGAAAAAGATCATTGATAAGTATGAAAGTGGAGTGCGTGTCTCTGAGCTGGCCAGGTTGTATAATAAACCCCAATCAACCATCGCTACTATTGGTGGTACAGCTGCTGTACCACCGTCAGCTGCTGCTGTAGTACCGTCTGCTGCTTGCTGTAGCATCGTCTGCTGCTGCTGTATTTTTCACTGTCAGCTGCTGCTGCTGCTGTAGAAACGTCTGCTGCTGCTGCTGTAGCATCGTCTGCTGCTGCTGTAGCACTGTCAGCTGCTGCTGCTGCTGCTGCTGTAGCACTGTTGTTGGTGTGGCTTATTGAGAATACCAAGAAACAATTAACCCCAGAGATTTGCCACCCAGGATAACCCAAAAAAGTCAGTGTCATCGAAGACTGTCTAACTTATTTCCATTGGGGTCCTTGATCTTGTCTCCCAGGATGCAACCCACACCAGTCGACTAACACCCAGGTGAACAGGGAAAAATGCCTGGAACTAGTGCTCATATTGGTGAATTTAAAGCCAGCAAAGGTTGGTTTGAGAGATTTAAGAATCGTAGTGGCATACACAGTGTGATAAGGCCTGTTCTGAAAGAAAATGCCAAACAGGACCTACAGTACTCAGGAGGAAGAGGCACTCCCAGGACACAGTGTCTCATCAGTCATTGCTGCATCTTCAATAAAGGTAACTGTCATTTATTCTTCATTTAGTAGAGTAGTACATGCACAATATATATTGTGCATGTACTACTCTACTATTGTGCATGTATCCTTCTCTTTGTGTGTAGAAAAATGTATATTTCATGAGGTAAAAATTTTTTTTTTCATACTTTTGGGTGTCTTGCACGGATTAATTTGATTTCCATTATTTCTTATGGGGAAAATTAATTCGACTTTCGATATTTTCGACATTCGATGGCTCTCAGGAATGGATTAATATCGAATGTCGGGGGTCCACTGTAGTGGCTGAAAAATATGTGCAGGAATTCAAGGAGTACATATACACTGAAAAATTAAAACCCCAACAAGTGTTTAATTGTGACGAAGCAGGCCTGTTTTGGAAGAAAATGCCAAACAGGACCTACTTTACACAGGAGGAAAGAGCACTGTCAGGACACAAGTCTATGAAAGAAAGGCTAACTCTTATGTTTTGTAGTAATGCTAGTGGGGATTGCAAAGTGAAGCCTTTACTCGTGTATCACTCTGAAACTCCCAGAATGTTCAAGAAATACAGTGTCATCAGGGCTGATTTGTGTGTGATGTGGAAGGCAAACAGTAAGGCATGGGTCACTAGGGACATTTTCCATGATTGGTTCTGTCATGTGTTTGGCCCCACTGAAAAAATACCTCCTGGAAAGTAAATTGGACCTCAAGTGCCTCCTGGTATTAGACAGTGCTCCTGCTCATCCTCCAGACTTGCAAGACCGAATTGCGGGGGAGTTGAGCTTCATCAAAGTGAAGGTTTTGCCTCCTAATATCACTCCTCTCCTCCAGCCCATGGACCAGCAAGTCATTTCAAATTTCAAAAAAACTGTACACCAAAGCAGTGTTTCGAGAGTGCTTTGAAGTCACCTCAGACTGATTTGACCCTAAGAGAGTTTTGGAAAGATCACCTTAGTATCCTCAGTTGCATAAACCTTATAGGTAAGGCTTTGGAGGGAGTGACTTGCAGGACTTTGAACTCTGCATGGAGGAAATTGTGGCCACAATTTGTACAAGAGAGGGATTTTGAAGGGTTTGGGGCTAACACTGAGGAGCCTATACCAGTTGTAGAATTTATTGTGTCATTGGGGAAGTCTATGGGGTTGGAGGTTAGTGGGGAGGATGTGAAAGAGTTGGTGGAGGACAATGATGAAAAACTAACCACTGATGAGCTGCAAGAGCATTTGCACCAGCAAGATACCACAACTGAGGAAACTGCTTCAGAGGAGGGGAGAGAGAGATGGAGGAAGTTGCCTTCTTCAACGATTAAGGAAATTTGTGCAAAGTGGATTGACGTGCAAACCTTTATAGATGAAAATCACCCTGACACAGCTATTGCAAGCTGTGCTGGTGACTTTTACAATGACAATGTTGTGACCCATTTTAGGAAAATCTTAAAGGAACGCTAGGTACAGAGCTCTTTGGACAGATTTTTGGTGCGACTGAGGTCCAGTGACTGTCAAGTTGTCCCCAGTGGCATTAAAAAAAGAAGGAAACTAACCCCGGAAAAGGTCTTAGTACCTAAAGTCCTTATGGAAGGGGATTCCCCTTCCAAAAACTAATACACCTCCATCCCTCCTCCCATCTAATCACTCATCAATAAATCTTCATTAAAGGCAAGTGTCATTTATTCTTCATATAGTATTTATTCTTTATGTATCATTGTTTTCTGTGTAGGATATTGTATATTTCATGTGAAAAGAATTTTTTTTAATACTTTTGGATGTCTGGATCGGATTAATTGGTTTTCCATTATTTCTTGTGGGAAAATTAATTCGGCTAACGATAAAATTGGTTAAGGACGTGCTCTCTGGAACGGATTAAAATCGTTACTCGAGGGTTCACTGTATGTACGTAGTATTATTATTATTATTATTATTATTATTATTATTATTATTATTATTATTATTAATTTAGGGAACTAAAACTCTATTGTTATAATAATAATAATAATATGTATTATATTGTTATTATTATTAATTTAGAGAACTGAAGCTCTATCATTATTATAAAAATAATAATTTATTATTTTTATATATTATTAATTATTATTATTAACTTGGGGAACTGAAGCTCTGTTATTATAATAATAATAATAATAATAATAATAATAATAATAATAATAATAATAATATTTTTAATAATATTAATTTAGGGAACTGGGGCACAGATCCAATTCCCTAGATCAAGAGCCCCCTCACCAGCGTCAAGGAGCGTTGACGCTGGTGTGGGGCTTTTGATCTAGGGAATTGGATCAGTGCTCTAGTTTCCTAAATTAATAAAAATAACACTAATAATAATAATAATAATTCTTATTATTATAATAAATGCCACCAACTCAGTGCACTGTTTACCTCGCTGTCGGAGCAGTTCTCTCATGCTTTGCTTACATTTTTGACAGTCATGTGGCCAATTTTTGTTTCTCTAAGCATGGGCCCTAAGAAAGTAAGTGTAAAGGACAGTGCTTGGAAGAAAAAGAGAATGATTTCCATGGAATTAAAGCATGAAATCATAGATAAACAAGTGAGGTGTCCAGGTTTTGGGTTGAGTGGGAAGCAGGGGGGGGGGGAGCTGGCTCATAACTGAAATGTTGGCTCGTAACTCAGAGCAAAAAATCGACCCAGGGATGGCTCGTATCTCAAAAAACTTGTATGTTGGGATACTCGTAAGTCAAGGTTTCACTGTATCTGATAGCACTTGGTTTATTTTTTCCCAGTCAATTCTATGGTTGTTAAAATTAAACTTCCTGAACATCCCATCTCTAACATTAGTGATGCAGTTCCCTAACTCAGTGATAGTGTGATTGATGGTAAAACTGTTTTTTTCTTTTTGAGGTGACTTTACCTCAGTGGGAGACAGTCGGTGTGTTAGAAAAAAACACTTACTGTTTGTATAAACTTGGTGAAGCATATAAAAACTGGGAATGCTTGAAGTCCCTTGAACTGTATGCCTTGGAATGTAGGCAAGAAAGATGCATAATATCTGCTGAAAAAATTCTGGAGAAATTGGTTCCAAACCTGCCTACACACAGGATAGGACTCTCAGCAATGGTTTCATGTTGGAAAAATTCAGAGTCAGGAAGGATATAGGAAAGCACTGGTTTGGTAATAGAATTGTGGATGAGTAGAACAAACTCCCGATTACCATCGTAGAAGCTAAAATGTTGTGTAGTTTTAAAAATAGGTTAGATAAATACATGAGTGGGTGTGGGTGGGTGAGAGTTATATTTGACTAGCTTGTGCTAGTAGGTCCGATTCCATGCTCCTTCCTTAAGTGTATGTGACCTGGACCAGACTAGGTTGGGTCAGTGGCATAAGCCAGTAGGTGACTTGGACCTGCCTCACATGGGCCTAGGCCTGCTGCAGTGTTCCTTCTTTCTTATGTTCTAATGTTCTTATACTGAAATTACTCCATGTAAAAGCTAGAGGCTTGACAGATGGTACAAAATACCTCAGGTCAGTTCTTGATCAGCCTGGCTTTGGTGCATACATTGGACTGCATACAACTGGTATCAACAGCCAGGTTGATAAGGCCAGCAACTGCGAGGCTTAGTCTTGGATTGGGTTGCAGGGACTGAGGCCCCCAAAATTGACTCCAGGTAGGTGGTAAATCTTGTCTCAAGTAATGCAGCGAACACTGACTCTTGTCATTGGTAGAGTAAGGTTGATCATGTTCTGTTTTTTGTTAATCACATTATTATTATTGGCTACATTTACACTGTGATCCTGCTTGGTAATTGCTCAATTTTATTAAAAAAATTTCCTCTGTCTTATGTTCCCTCACATATGTCTGTCTATATTTTTTCACTTTGCCCCTTCTACTTCCTCACTTGAATTTTCTTATTGAAGGCAGTCCACATTTTTTGCACTTGTTTCTGAGCACAAACCAACAGCAACTTTTGATTGATGATGGCAAAATAAACATGTAGAAAACTTAGAACAGTGATTCACATTCTGCTTCAAGACTAAAAACTTCAGTGCATGTGTAATGTCTGGAGGAGAGAGTGCAAGTTTCCACTTTATTTTTACATACTAGTAATGACAGCAATTATCTTTTCTCTTTGGGTATCACATAGCACAGGGTGCTCTGTCAAATTGTATGTATATTTTTTTTTGCAGGCTACTCCATCACTGGCAAAGTTGCTGCTTCACATGTACAACTGGAATCAGATGGAGATTGTTGCTGGTTATCGGCAAGACTGTCACAAATTACTCTCCTCTGCACACATTAAACCACCTTCACCACCTCAGCACCTGACCAGTGGCCAGCAAGGAGAAGGAGAAATTACTTGTCCTGTTTGCCTTTCTCCAATGTCCCCAGATTATGCCAGTCACCTCTCCTGTGGTCATACCTTCTGCAAGGATTGCTGGAGCATGCACTTCGAAGTTCAAATTACACAGGGAATGTCCACAGGTATAGTGATGCATTTACTCCTATACCTGATTAAGAGTGGGTTGCTAGTTTAACTTGATTAAATAAGGCTCACTCTAATGATATTAACCCTTTCAGGGTCGGTGCTGTACATACATGGCTTGAGAGCCAGGGTCGGTGCCGTACTTATAAGCCAAAATTCTAGCACCTTCAAATCGAGCGGAAGAAAGCTGGTAGGCCTACACATGAAAGAATGGGTCTGCATGGTCAGTGTGCACAGTATAAAAAAAATCCAAGAGCATGCACTGCATAATGAGGAAAAAAAAAAACTCCGACCGTGTTTTTTTGGTTTAAAACAGCGACTTTGCAGTGTACTTTCGTATGGTATTTATCGTTGTATTCTCTTTTTCTTGGTCTCATTTGATAGAATGGAAGATATAGTACAGATATAGAGATGATTTAGATTGATTTCATGATGAAAAGTACCTTGAAATTGATCTCAAAGTAGAGGAAATGATCAATTTTTGCTGATGTTCAAGATAAAACAAATCACGCCAGGCATGCAATACACGTCAACTGATGAGTCTAATATTCTTTCACAAGTGCGCTGATATTATTTATACCATTTTTTCAATAATGCAATAGTCTGCATAACAGTAAATCTTGTATTTTTTATAAGAATAAAAATGCAAAATGGTAAGCAAGAGTAATACAAGAGGGGCTTGGAGACATGACTGATGAACAGAGAAAATGTTAATTTAGTGCCAGGAATGTGTGGAATTGGCCAAACTGCCAATTTCTGACCACTTTTTTGGGTAGTTGAGATCGGTAAATGGGTGGTTTCTTGTACTCAGTCGATAAAACAAATGAAGTTTTAGTGAAATAGCTATGATTTTTAGTCGACTGGAACAAAGGAATTGGCCGAAAATAGAGCTCAAAGTGGGCAAAATTGCCGATGCATAGATATCGCTAACTTTGCAAAGGCCTAATTTCGTAAGTTTTCCATCAAATTTTGTACTTTTGTGTCAATACCGTTGGGAAAAGATTGCCTATCATTTCATAAAAAGTTTTTTTTTTCGACCCCGAGAGCAAGTTCAGGATCAGGGGTCTCGACCCTGAAAGGGTTAATGTCCCTCATAATAGCAATTAAGTATATTCCATCAAATGCATACATGGGTATGTAGCCTTGCTATTTGGACAAAGCAAGAAAAGAATTCTCATTTTATACAAAAGCAATAATGAACATCTATAGAAAATACTGCTTCAGCAACATAAAAAATGGGAATGTACTTAAAATCAAGCCTCAAGTTTCTCATAACCCACATTACATAGTATCTTTATAATGAGTTCTTGGGATAGCTGTAACCATATCTGATAATATTGTTTTTCTTAGGTATTGAGTGTATGGGCAACAGCTGTCAAGTTTTGGCCCCAGAAGACTTTGTAGTTCCATTATTAAAACGTCCACGACTAAAAGAAAAATATCAGCAGTATGCCTTTGCTGACTATGTTAGAAGTCATCCCCAATTACGATTCTGCCCTGGTCCAAACTGTAATATTGTTGTTCAAGCAAAGGAGTGCAAAGCAAAAAGAGTAAATTGTACAGCTTGCAAAACTCAGTTTTGGTGAGTAAGAGTATGTATTGCCCTTTAGTATTTTCCATGTACAGTATATATTGGTTTAGAAAAACACTTAAGCAAACACTAAGACATATTAGAAAACGTTTCGGTCCTGGGACCTTGATCACTTCTAACATACGGAGGTTAAAAGACGGTAAATATAGTTGGAGAGTGAAGTGTGAGTGATGCATGGTGACCTGAAGAAATGCGATATTGGGATGAAGACAGGTAGACGATGAGATCATGTGACTCCTGTTTTATTGGGTAGGTGGTTCTTTGCCTGGTTGAGTATCATGTATGCAAATGTAGAAATTTTGTACAGGTCTCCCTCAACATTCGTGAGGGTTAGGGGATCAAGAGCCTCGCAAGTGTTGAAAAATCATGAATGTTTGGTGCCCCAATATATTGTAGGGAAATATAATACAGTATTGCTTCCTTAACCTATTGAACCATGAGCAATCATAAAATACATGAAAACATTGTAAAGATTTGTACTAGTGCCAGCCTTTGGTAAAGAAGGTGGAAAGCAGAGTACCAGAGTGGAGGAAGAGAGAGGGGAGAATGTGCCTTCTTCAGTGATTTTACTACAGTGGGCCCTCGACCAATGATATTAATCCGTTCCAGAGAGCTTGTCCTTAGCTGAATTTATCGTTAGCTAATTTAATTTCCCCCATAAGAAAAAATGGAAATCCAATTAATCCGTTCCAGACACCCAATAGTATGAAAAAAATATTTTTTTAACATGAAATATACATTTTCCTACACAGAAAAACAAGGATACATGCACAAATACTACATGAAGAATACATGACACTTACCTTTATTGAAGATTTATTGGTGAGTGATTAGATGGGAGGAGGGGAGGTGGAGGTGTATTAGTTTTTGGAAGGGGAATCCCCTTCCATAAGGACTTTAGGTACTAAGACCTTTTCCGGGGTTAGTTTCCTTCTTTTTTTAATGCCACTGGGGACAACTTGACAGTCACTGGACCTCAGTCGCACCAAAAATCTGTCCATAGAGCTCTGTACCTAGCGTTCCTTTAAGATTTTCCTAAAATGGGTCACAACATTGTCATTGTAAAAGTCACCAGCACAGCTTACAATAGCTGTGTCAGGGTGATTTTCATCTATAAAGGTTTGCACGTCAATCCACTTTGCATAAATTTCCTTAATCGTTGAAGAAGGCAACTTCCTCCATCTCTCCCCTCCTCTGAAGCAGTTTCCTCAGTTGTGGTCTCTTGCTGTTGCAGATGCTCTTGCAGCTCATCAGTGGTTAGTTCTTCATTGTCGTCCTCTACCAACTCTTCCACATCCTCCCCACTAACCTCCAACCCCATGGACTTCCCCAACGACACAATAGATTCCACAACTGGCATAGCCGGACGCGTTTGGGATGAATGTTGTTACCCAAGCTTTTCACCATTGGTCGAGCCAATATTTTTGCGCAGAAGCGCATCGTTAGGTGATTTTATCGTTAGATGATGCTAGCGTTGGTCGAGGGTCCACTGTATGTGTACGATACTAAAACAGCACGAATTGATGAAGGCCAACCAGTAAGTTAAGCGAATAATCAATAGAAAAGGGACAGCACGAACCTAACTCCTCCATTGTTCTTGGAGTTATATAGGGTGACTGACAACATCGCCGTCTCTAGTCTCTACCTCTGCTGCCTCCTCCACCACCACTATATAAGGCTTATGTCTCAACAACAACAACAACACAGCAACACTTGTGACATACTTAATGACATATTTTATTCATTCTACAGTATATGTCATGTTTCTATGTTATTAATACTGTTTATTATGTTATATTAGATGAATTGTGATAGATAAATAAGCTGTAGAGTTGATATTAGTGTCATATTGAAGGACTATCTTGTCCTATCTCCAAACAGACTCTGGCACTGCTACAATTCCTAACATATGTAATGACATGTTTTAAATGTGATTGGGTGGCTGGGAATTCGCGAATGTTTGAAGACCGCCAAAGTAGAGAACACGAATGTTGAGGGAGACCTGTAGTTTCCAGTGTTACTCTCTAAGGTGTTGGTGACGGTGATTGGCGAGGCTTCTAGACATCGTCGGTAAGGTCTTGTTCGGTGAGAATGAGTTGTGCCTCATCCTAATTTATCAAATGCCCCATGAAGTCCCTGTGGAGGACACAGGCCTACCTTGGGTCATCTGTGTTACTGGCATTTCAGGCGGACCTAAAGATCTCTCCCTGTTTCGCCTACATATTTCTTGTGACAATATCCATAGGGAAAGGTGCAGATGCCTGATGTGGAAGTTAGTGGTGTGGGACTGTGTTTTGTAGTGAGGTCTTTGAGGGGTTTTTTTATGGTGGA